GAAGCAGTTCTTCCTAATGTCCAATCTAAATCTGCTCTCTGCTAGCTTGTGGCCATTATTTCTTGTAACCCCCAGGGGCGCCTTGGTGAATAAAACCTCCCCAATTCCCTTCTGTGCCCCCGTGATGAACTTATAGGCAGCCACAAGGTCGCCGCTCAACCTCCTCTTGCGGAGCCTGAAAAGGTCCAGGTTCTCTAGTCTCTCCTCGTAGGGCTTGGTCTGCAAGCCCTTAACCATATGAGTGGCCCTTCTCTGGACCCTCTCCAGGTTATTCACATCCCTCTTCAAGTGTGGTGCCCAGAATTGCACGCAGTACTCCAACTGCGGTCTGACCAGCGCCCGATAGAGGGGAAGTATCACCTCCTTGGACCTATTTGTCATGCATCTGCTGATGCACGATAAAGTGCCATTAGCTTTTCTGATGGCTTCGTCTCACTGCCGACTCATGTTCATCTTGGAGTCCACTAGGACTCCAAGATCCCTTTCCACTTCCGTGCCACCCAGCAGGTCATTTCCTAGGCAGTAGGTGTACTGGACATTTTTCCTCCCTAGGTGCAGCACTTTGCATTTCTCCTTGTTGAACTGCATTCTGTTGTTTTCTGCCCACTTGTCCAACCTGTCCAGGTCTGCTAACAGCTGTTCCCTGCCCTCCGGCGTGTCCACATCTCCCCATAGCTTTGTGTCATCCGCAAACTTGGACAGAGTACACTTCACTCCCTCGTCCAAGTCACTGAAGAAGACATTAAAGAGTATCGGTCCAAGGACCGAGCCCTGCGGGACCCCACTTCCCACATCCTTCCAGGTCGAAACCGACCCATCCACCACGACTCTCTGGGTGCGACCCTCTAGCCAATTCGCCACCCACCGGACTGTGTAGTCATCCAAGTCACAGCCTCTTAACTTGTCCAAGTTATGTCCAAGTTATTTTAGAGTTGCTGTGTTTGGTCCCTGGGGAACTTAGCAATGACTTGTTTTGATGGGTCAAAGTAGGATCTAGATATCTCCTGATAAATGTTATGGGCTATCCAAGTTCTAGCACAGAGAGACTACATCACCTTTGAGAACCAGGGGTCAATAAGGATGCAAATGATTTAGTCACTTTTCTAGTTAGACCTGAAGGAAGAAACGTGTTCAAAAATAACTTAAAAGTGCTTGCTGGGGACAGCAAAAGAGATGGTTGAAAATACCTAAAAAGCACGAGCATCAGTTCTAAGACCTCACATGCGAAACAGTTAATGCTTGACTGCTACAAATACTTTAAAACAGCTGCAGAAAACGCTCCCCATTTAAACAAGAAAAAACAAACAAGCAAAACCTAAACTCAGTTTTAAAATATTCCAGGATGAAATGAGCATGGTAAAAACTTGCTTTGCTATACTCTTTTATCTAGGAAAACCCTTGTGCCATTTTCTGGAACTGCTTGCATGTCATCTTTACTACAGGTGAAGAAGTGTTTCTGATATTAATCACTCCACTGCTATTTCCCAAAATTAAGAAAAAGAGGCATTCATAACAGTCACAAGGCTTTTCAGCAGTTGTTAGCTAGGCTGAGCAGGGAAGGCTGCAATTAAGAGAAGCTGGGCACGTCCACACGAGCCTGCGCGTGCCTCTTGCTGTGTCTCAAAGCCCTTTGAGACACTGTAAGATGCACACCAGGAACAAAAAAAAAAAACAACATTCAAATCTGATACCTGGAGATCCAGGTATTAAAAAATATCCCGTGAGAAAAAAAAACGGGGCAGGTCACGGTCCCGAACAGTGCCCTGAGGCAACTGGAGGCTTGGGTCCTCCACAGAGCCGCTCTGGTAGCCAGCCAGGGTTTCTCTATGGCATGCTTCCTGCTTGTGCAGGGCAAACAGCGGTGCAGGCTGCAGGCACCTAACCTCTGTGACAGGTAAGCCGCTGGGGCGGGGCGGGGAACCCAACTGCAGCTCCCCAATTGTTCTCCCAGCTCCGATTGCTCCTCTGCCTGGTCCCAGCTGCTACTGCCAGTGAGTTTGTGGAACTGGGGGAGTGAGCAGGGGGATGGGGCAGGTGGCAGGGGTGGGGGGTACTGTAGCCCCTGCAGGAGGGCATGTGGCCTCTGTTGATGGGCTGTAGCTCCTGTTGGGAGAAGCAGTCCATGAGCAATGTGGGAAGGCTGTGGGGGGCAGGGGAGCCACCCCTCCTGAGCAGCTCCCTTCATATGCCCCCCCATGCCCACAGTCCCCCCTGCAATCCACCCAACAAACTCCACACCCCCACCACAAACCTGGCCCTGTGGGTCAGGAGTGAGGGGACTGGGGCAGGGCACTGGCATATCAGTGCTGCTCAGTGCCGCACACCTTGGCCAGCAAAGGGGGTATGGGTAGCTCTGATTTTTCAATGACAAAAAAGCCAAAAGTAAATATCAAACTGTATAGATATTTAGAATTTATTTTATTATGATGACAGAAGCACTGGTAGGCTTTCAAATTGCTTTAAAATTGTAAATATATCAATAAAACGCTGCCCAACTGATTTTCTCTCTCTCTCTTGTTTTAATTGTGAAAGAACATGGATTTCGGGGTATTTTAAGGAGTGACTTAAGATTTTTTAAATCAGGGATTTTGCAGTTTTTGCAAATTTTAAATAGGGAACACCAGAATTCCTACTAGTGAGGCAAGTGGCAGGACTCAGGCAGAGGAGCCTACTCAGAGCTGGCACCTGGGACCCAGCTAGAGGTGGCTGACCTCCTGGCCACTTGAAGCCAAGAGGACATGCTTCATTAGTTCAAAGCAGGCCACCACACTGAGAACATCTTCCAGGCGATAGCTGCCCAGATGGCCAGGCAGTGGCACATATGGCAGTAGTACCGCAAAGACCAACTGCAGCTGGCCCAGAGGTGCAGATGCCTCTAATGGCTATGAAGTCTCCATTTGGGTCTGGGAGGCATGCAGTCTTGGGGCCATATGCTGTCAGTCATTGCAGCAGGTCACAGCCAGGCAGCAGCTGCCACTGCCAGACTGCTGCAGTGGGTAGAGGGTGCAGGGAACTCTCAGGGTTGCTTAAGCAGTCCAGCTGGCACAAGGGGTAGTGTCACCAGGTACCAATCGGCTGGGCCCCAGAAGCTTCTGAGAGTGAGTAGCCTTCAGCTACTTGCCAGGCCAGTTTTTTATACTGCTAGGGGCAGCCCCAGTGCTGGCCGCAGCCTCTAGCTCCCCCTGGCTGCAGATCTGGGAGGAGCCAGGCAGGGTTATTTTGCCCCAAGTGGCACAATTTGCCTCACAACAAAATGCATGTCCGGGCACATGTGCTGAGGCAAAAAACCACGGCTCAAATTTGTGCTGCTTCTATTTCAGCTGCTGCAAGCACACATGCCTACATGTGTGGATGCACCCATTGAGTGTTAGGAGATATATACCTAAAAAGCATATAAAAAGTAAAAAGGGTTATGTTTAATGTAATTTAAATAACTATATCTTAATGTGTAATGCTTTGAATCTTACATTTGAACCTACCTGAGTCTTGTAGTTCTATTTCATTGTTCTAATAGTGAGTAAAAGGCTAGAAAATCTTACCTGTTGGGAGTAGCCTCGAAATGTTGGATTTACGGTTTTAATTCCTTGAAACAAATTTGTAGGAACAATGGAACCAGGTCTGGAGGAGAGGTTAAAAAAGGTAAAATTGTAAGTGGACTTCCATTTTTCTACCTTCATTGGGATCTGTTTATTAGGAAGTAAATTAGAACACAGGCACTGGAAACTCATTGCACAAATTTTCATAAAAGGACACTGTTATTTGCTACTTGAGAGGCTTTGTTGCATGAGAGTCCTGGTAAACATTGTTACTGTACAGTGACAGAGTTTATAACACTACAAGATACTGAGTGCTATGTGTAGGTACATGTGCACAGCTCCCTGGCTTGAATGTGACAAAGTTGCCACAAAGGCACAGTCTTCAGCCAGGGAGAGATAGGAGAAATGCCCCCGGAGAAATAGGACAGGTGTCCCTTAGGGCCCTCTGCTCACAAAGAAGCTAGTCAGTGAGCCAGATAGCTGATCCTCAAAGCATGTCAGTGAGCCTGTTACTATTGTACCATCTGCAGCATCCAGGCGTGGATCCAGTGGTCTTTGGTTTAGGGCTGTTGGTACTACAGCAGCCCCTTAAAGTTGTGTATGCATAATTACCAGCAAGCCATCTCAGGCAATACAGATGGATGGGGCAGGAAACTGCTGAGTCTGCGATTGCTGTAACCCTGTCCTTGTTGTCACCGAGTGGCAATAGAGACAGAACACCTTGCAAGCCACTCTGGCGCAACAAGGGCTGACCAGGCAGGGAAACTGTCCAGTAGGCTCCTGACAGCACACAACAACAGGAACAGGGCAGCCTGTATGCTGCCCCAGGTGACAGGGGGCCAAATGCACAGCTGTCCACACTACAACTGTGTCCTTGTTGCCACTTAGTGGCAGCAGAGACAGAGCAGCCTGAAAGCCTCCTGACAGTCTGCCCAGCAGGGAGATAGCTATCAGGAAGCCAGCTGCTCTCCCTCCTTCCTTTTCCCTTGGTGGGGAAAAGGCAGAACAGAGCATTGTGAAACAGAGGGAGGGGGCAGGGTAGCGTGACTAAGACCTGGCTACATACTAAACTTGTCCTGGAAAGGCAAAGAAGTTGCTGCTTGAAACAGAAACCTCTTTGTTGTCAACCTGCCATTTTTGTGACGAGTCACAATTTTTATAGTGTGACAAATGGTGCGAGTGTGACCATTCACATTTTGTCATCTTAACCTTGCATATAAAATAACATCTGCTAAGGCTCTAAGGAAGTCAAAATAAAACTATAAAGCCGTTTTTCATGATTATGGGTTCAACTGCAGAATATCAAGACATTTCAGTTATCATGTAAAGAGAAAAGTCACTACTAAATTTGAAGGCAAGTTGGACACAGTTGTGACTCAGCAATATGCTCTTCGAGTGTCACGTTATATATACAGAAAAGCCTCTTGTGTACCTCTTGCACTAAAATAAATGCTGCCTTCTGAAACTGAACACATACCTATTTAGAGTTATTATTTTCAATTAAAATGAAACTTGCAGATTTTGTAATATCTCTTCTGAAAAATCAGAAAAGACAAATCTGCCCCTGGCTTGTACTACCATGTGAAGTTTACTTATAACATGGTCTGCAGTGGAAACAACAGCGTACCTGCTTTTGTGCCAAAGTTCTGTCATCAGCTTGAGGTAACTTTTACAAATTGCTGGTTTTTTATCCGTTCGAGCTAAGGCGCCACAGTCGAGAAAAAACTGTGTCAAAGGCGGACTGATAATAAGGAAGAAAAAACCCCCATTATTTTAAAGTGGTGTTAAGAAAAGTGTGAGCTCCTATTCCCCCAACTCATAATAATTAGTCTTGGTCAACACCTCATTAACATCTAAACACAACGATTTATTTCTTATGCCTTCAGGACATATTCAGCTATTCAGTTACACGGGAAACTATATGGGAGGAGCAACTATCTTCTTCTCCCTCCACACAAATCCTGACATCTGGTAAAGATGCTAGAATTGCAGTGGTGGTGCCCAACAGCTGCTGCTCCTAATCTGGGTCTGGGTCCTGGAGGAGCAGCTGCCAAAGACAACCTGTCCTTGCCAGGGAAGGGGGAACCAGGCAAGAAGTCAGTGATTAGGGCTTACTGACACAGTCTCCCTTGAGGGCAGAGGAAGGGAAAGCGCAACCCCATGTGAG